CTCACACTCTCAACAGTTCTCCTACCTGTGTATTCAGATGCCCGGCAATTTCAACCTGTCGAGGCCTTTGGAAATGGTATATCCCTGGATTCAAAGCGCTCGAGTCTATGATGGCTCTCAAAGGCAAGTGGTCGTCACCCATGCCGAAGGAACAAATCTTCACGTCACATTGCAAGGTTAGCTTCCATTACAGTGTACCAGCCACAGTGTACATTTCCTTCTAGCGTACATTTGATCATAACTTCGTCCTATTTATTTTCGATAGCTTTTAGTAATTACTTCCAATGAAATTACGGCGCAAAGGTGGGGAATGTAGGCAGCTATGACTCCTCAGGTCTTTTCTACCTTGTCGGGATTTCACTTTCATCTTGTTTTGGAGGGACCAGTTGCTACTAACTGGGCATGTGACGAGTTTCAGCCAAGTCTCAGCCACGCAAATAGTGCCTGAAAACACACATAACTTTGCAAAACGACTTAGTGGTGGCTATTTTTAAGCGCTTGTTTCTATTTCATAGGATAGTTCACGTCCTACTAGGAAAAGGTGTCGGCCAGGGTATACGAGCTGCTGCGGTTCGGCCAGTTGCAACTAGCGTCGCCGTGCCGCCGTCCGTCTTTTCAAAGCCTCATGGCGGATGTAAAAGTCTTGTTGGGAGGTTGCAGACGGCAAAGATGACGGAGCACACTTACACTTCGAACACTTTTTGAATCGAATTAGATAATAAAAAATTGTGACACTTGATAGTGAAAAGTGCTCAATTTATAATTCAGCTCAAATAAAGTTAGATTAGCAAGGTAGAGTGAAATCATATTTTACATTTGCAATTCAAGTACTTGAAAAATGCCTAGAAAAAACCTTCACCTCGATCTTTCCAGTAAACGGCGAAGTCGATGGACATAGGTTGGTCTTTTTCCACAACTCCTCAAGGATATCCGACTTTACAGGCACAATTATTGTCGACTCAAGGAGTAACAAGTGAGTTCCAAGTAATCAGTTCCAATTGAGATTCCATCAATTACTGATTTACTTTCAGGTATTTCAATGTGACCGTTTATGGTGCTTCGGGAAAAATCAACGGCGCTGTGAAATACTCAACTGAAAGGGATTCTGATGAGATATTCTCGTTCACTACTTACGTTCATGACCTAAGCGTTAGTTTTAATATATATTACACAAACATTCGGCTCGTGATCAAAAACCCTTTTCAGGCTTCTAATCGATCTATGATTATTCCAATGCCGGCCATTGTGGAATCTGGATCGCGAATGATATGCATGTACGCTGATGAACAACGTGAAGAGC